GCCAGGTTCAGCGAATGCGCGTTCAACGCGTTCAAAAGTTGAATGCGAAACGTGTGTTCAATGAACGCGCGGCAACAGAGAGGGCCCCGCGTCCTATGAATACAAGTGTTTTTTTTTTTGATTATAGGAAGTACTCAGAATGCTGGAATGCTAGAAATGCTAACCTGCGTCAGCTCCGAATATCAGATGTTGCTGTCAGCATTGACTACCCCAGAGCTATGTATCACCCACGGTCATGACCACGGACTTTTTGACCGCATGCGGGCATGATAATGCCCGCGGGGGCCAACCGCTGAGGCCAAGTGCGGTCGGAAAACCCCAACATTTTTAATTCCTAGGATAATAGGCCCAAAAAAAAAAAGGGGGGGGAGCAGTTGTAGGGTTTCAAAAACCCTACCTCCCTATAATTTTTTTTATTTTTTTATTTTTTGTCCTGAATGATTGTAAAAAAATAGAAAACGAAAAAGTAAAGTATTAAAATCAAAACAACCATAATAAAAAAAGGGGAAACTTCTTTCTTTCTCATTTTTTTCGGATTGTCGGTGAGATAATCATGGTGCATATGATTTTTTGATTCTTTTCGTTTCCCTACATATGCAAATATAAAATGAACAAAAAATATATATATAATGAGGAAAAAAAACAAAGTCGTTTTCTTTTCTTTTTTCCGTGTTTTTTTCGTTTTTGATAGACAAACAAATTGATTGATTGACTGATTGATTGATTAAAAAAAAAAAAATGAATGCGCTAGTGTTTTTTTTTTTTTTTTTTTTTTTTTTTTTTTTTTTTTTTTTTTTTGTGTCACAAAAGAATTGCAAAGCAATTGCACAACCTGGTCAAGCCAGGAACAGTATTGGAAAATATATCATGTATTGGCACAAGGAGAGCAAGGCATCATGCATATCTTAGTCATTTAGTTTACCATCGTACACCTTCAGCAATAGCTTAATTTCACCGAGCCGATAACCATTCAGGTTTTTTTTTGATAGAAGGGTATGACGATGGAGGAAGAGAATGAGAAGGAGGAGGRGAGCCTTCATCGACAGGACCAATTTCCAGATTCAAGGAAGGAGGGTGGCGCGTCCCTGAAGCGCTTTTCGCCGTTCGCGCCATGAGAACGGCTCATCAAAGGGATTACTGCGCTTATGGGTGGCAAGCCACATCGGGTGGCCCAATCGCCAGCAGAGTGGGGGCGACCTGCGCAGAGTAGTGACGGGGGTAGAGGGAGGGCAGGGGGTATTGGAGCATTTGACTGGGAAGTGGGAATAATATCGATAGTAGGGCATAGGGTGTGTGGGGGGGTGGGGTGTGGATGACAAAAGGTGGGGTTTTGTATTATGCATACCCCGTGTGCATTGATCTCCGCATCCATGACATGTCCTTCATTCGTTGTAGCCATTGCTGCCATCTCCAAAGGAGTTGTCTTGGTTGGTGAGAGTAGCCGGAGCACAATGTCAAGCTTAGGATGGATTCTGGTCACGTTGTGTGCCGAGGATCAACAGTCACTAGGTGATCAAATGATACTATAAGGGCGTAGTTTCCTTGCAAGCACGCGGAGCCATGCGTAAGTCGCCGTGGGGCGAGCAGATAGCAAGCGTCCGTGGACAGGTTTTGCCAAAAGAGAGGACGAAGTCTGGAGTTCGGATGTCTTAAAATAGGTAGTAGTTTTACTGAGTGCGGGGGAAACTGGGGCCGTGCTGCAGATGTATGTCAGTTTCTGAGCCCCGGTATTCTTGTTTCACGCGCGTTTTTTTTTGGGGGGGGTTATTTGTTTTTCGTAGGCCGGGGGGTGGGTTTTTTTTTTGGGGTTGTGTTCGCTTCTTCCCTGTTTTCTGGCATTATGTCCAGTTG